AGCTGTAACTCTCTCCATCCCATATTATAGTGTTTGTTTATAATATTAGGCTTAAATTTTATTCTTTTTTTAAAATTTTCATTATTTATTTGATAAAAGAATAGTCATGTCAAAAAATAGTACTCCCTCCGTCCCAAAAAGATCGTTACGTTTCATTTCTTTGCGCATCACAAAAAGCAATGCTACTCACATCTAAAATTTCTAAAATTTACCATATTTACTCTTTATTATAAGATGAAATTGTTTTGAAAGTTTTTTTGGCATTTGAGACGATATAAAAATATTTTAAGGGATGCGCAAAGAAATGAAACGTAACGATCTTTTTGGGACGGAGGGAGTACGTCATATCACTTCTTGTTTTGAAATTTTTTTGGTGTATTTTTAAAATATGTAATTTTTTTATAATTCCAACACAATCTCCAAAAAGTTTAAATTAAATACTTTAATCAAACATCACAAACTAAAACATGCATTGTAAACTGGGATGGATGGGTATCTTATATGGAGTACTACACAAGATATTGACATGAAATTTAGAAAAAAAACCCTTTCCTTGATAACTAAATCCGTTTAAAGAGAAAAAAAGAAAAAAAAGATTAAAAACAATAATGAATGCTCTAGTGACTATTATTTTTGACTGAGTTTATTTTAATTTTTTAATTTATATGAAAAATGAGTTAAAATAAATGTAAATCCAACAGAAATATGAATTATGAACATAAAATCTCCCAATATGTTGTGGCTATGCATTGAATGAACTTTGGTCTCCGGTCCATCCAGGGGCGGACCCAGAAGTTTCATGTCGTGGGGTCGTGTTTGTAAGATGTTTAATGAAAACATGACATGTTGTGCATTAAATAAAAAAGTATTTTTTGAAACATTTTGTCTCATTTTTGTTTATAATGTTTCTTATAACATTTTTTATTGAATTTATTTAAATATTGGCTTTGAATATAAACTTAAAAATAATAGATTAAAAGTAACATAAAACATTTTATAAAATAAGTTCATAACTAATTTTTAAGAAAATAATAGACGAAAACATGTAACGAAAGAATATCTAAATTGACTCTGTAAATAATCGAAAAGAAAAACATAACGAGATGATGGAGTAATTCATAAAATTAAAGATTATATTTATTGCAAAAATATTAAAGTGAATTGAACTTTCTATATTTTAAGATTATATTATTATAATATTATCACTAATAGTAACAAATATGTGTCTCCCTCCTCTGTCCCAAACTTAATTAAATTATTACTATAATGACAAACTCTCTTTTGCTTATATGTTTTCATTGATTATTTAATAAAATAAAATATTCTCGTTATATCTTATTTTATAAAAAAATTTATATCTTTTATTATGTAAATTATTCTCTCTATATCTCAGAATATTCATATAGTATGATTTTTTTTTATGTCAAATTGAATAAACTTTTGTTTCAATACCAATTTGTAAATAAAGTATATGTAAAAAAATTATTGATTTTGTACTAGTTTTTAAAAAGTCAAATCAATTATTGGAGAAAATGAATATGAATAGACAATAAAAGAATGAAACAAAAAAAGCAATTAAAAAGTAGCGAACAAAAAAAAAGAAGGAAAGCGAAAAAGTGGAAAAAGTTGGTCTTTACATGGAGGCTCGAACTCAAGCCACATTGAACAAGTATCTAGGCGCTAACCACTCTGCCAATCCGTCAAACTACACTTAGATGCATTTCCGTATCAATATACTCCGTATAATATATATACACCTAAATACATATATACAAATATTTTAAAAATTACAAAATTTCCGTGGGGTCGTGTGACCCCGTGTGATCCTATGTGGGTCCGCCCCTGTCCATCTCACAAACACAACATAGAAGTTTCATCTTACATTAACAATGGGATGCATGGGACAGGTGGGGACAGCTGTGGAAAAAAAATGAAAGTTAGTAAAAATGAAAGTTAGTAAATTAAAATAGGAATGTAATACATTTGATGTTTTTTTTGTTGAAAAAAAAAAATGAAAGTTAGTAATTTTTATTTCTGTATCAATTTGGAGCTAGTATGGGGAGTTGACCAAGTGCGTTTAGTGTATAATTTTTAATTATTTTTTGTCAACATATTTTAACAAGTATTGTTAGTCAAATAATCCCTACGTCCCAAAATGTAAGCAACAGTTACTATTTTGGTCTATCGATAACTTCTACTCTCTCCGTTCTAAAAAGATTTACACGTTTTGACTAAAGTTGAAACTAACGGAGAGATAATTTTGTGTTGACTTTCCAAAAATACCCTTGATGTGATGGGTAAAAGTATGATGTGATATGTAAATTATTAGGAAAAAAGTATGATGTGATAGGTAGGGTATGAAAAAGTAAGGAGTAGAAGTGGGTATTTAATGGAAATGTGTAGGAGATTGTGGGACACAATGTTTTTGAAAGGTGTAAATTTTTTTGGGACGGGGGGAGTATTTGTTTATTCGTTTTGGTTGACTATTTGATAAAATAAAATATTTTTATCGCATCTTATTTTGTAGAACTTTTGATTTATTTTTGAACGATCTATTTTTTATTTTTTTATTTCTCTACCAATTTGTAAATAAAAAATATTTAAAAGAAATAGAGAGAGGTGTACACTAGAGGTTATTAATGACACTTGCAACACTAGGTGGCTGGAGGAGCACTCACCAACCCACCTTAACTCACTCAACTCTCTTAAATTCTTCGGAGTATATAATCAATACACTTCACTACTTGAAAAACCCTAGCCATACACTAAAAGATTTCACACACAAAGAAAAAAAAACATCTCTCATCATTTCATCTACAAATATTTATCGAGAATGGCTTCAAGTAGCAGTGTAGTTGTGCTAGCTAGCTCATTAGAATGGTGAGTTACAAAAAATTCTAAATAATGAAGTGCAATTGCATTGTTCTTGGATGATACGAATATCGTATCGGATAGGGAAGAACTTCGAGCGTCTTCGGGCTCCAAGAAAGGGGAGGCAAAGAGAGAAGGAAAACTTCGAGCGTTCCCGGGCTCCAAGAAAAGAGAGACGAGAGATTAAGAGAATTCTTGATTATTGATTGATTGAATGATAATGATACGGGATTACAATATATAGGGATGAGACGCCACACCTACATGACCTAATGGGCTCGGGCCCATACAAAAACCCTAATCTATAAAATATTGATAAATAATAATAACTAACTACTAAATAATAATATAACTAATTAAAATATTCTAATTAACTATCCGTATCATTCTCACCCCCTTAAAAACCACCTTGTCCTCAAGGTGGAGGTTCCCACTCAATCTTTTGGCCATGTGAGAACGTGCTGAACCAGAAAAGACGTACATTTGTTGACCAATCTTCAAGAAGCTTCTCTGATAAAGTATAGTGGGAGAAATAAAAGAGAAGACCAAACATGCATCGAAATATTTTCTTTGAAACCAGGTGTTCAGACTTGACAATACCAACAATGCCAAACAACGCGATGGTGTCCAACGAAATTGAGTTATCGGCGTGCATACAATCTTCATCCGCCACCTTGTCCACACCTTTTAGAAGGGCAAACTCTTTATTTTTCCCCACGAAGTTGGACCCCTTGTCATCCGCATTTATGAGTTCAGGCTCACTGTCCATGTTATCTTCGGACCACTCATCATCTACATTTATGAGATCAGACACACTGTCCATGTTATCCCCAGCATATGATTCTACGCTTGAGTCATCCTTTGACTCCTTTTCATGAGACTCAGTGTTTTGTATGGTGACCATATGAGCCAAATTTGGTGGAGAAAGCGGGGCATTGATAAGGTTTTGGATGGCATTCATCATGTTTGTTCTGAAGTTTTGTAACTCCAAAGGAATCAAAATCGGCAAAATTGAGGGACCACGAACCAAATCCTGTACCGCACAAGAGATTTCAATGTCAAATGCATGTAAGCCAGAATCATAATTGGACTGACCGTCAATAGGATGAAATGACTGAAGATTCGTTATCATTTCATCAATGTAATCGTAAAGTGTGCACACTCCTTCGTCGTTCTCAATTTCTCCATATAGAACATTCTCTAGCAAATTAGTAAGTTTGTCCAGTACACATAAACAAATTCTCTAATCGTTTGACTCGGGCCTCCATTTGGAATGAAAAATTCTGCAACATTTTTTTCTGAACGTGCGGCCCAAATGGATCTGACTGCAGAACAATCAAATTAAAATGGATCTCAAAATAAGTGGTGCGGTGCTGCTCTTTTTTTCCCTTCAAATCTGACAAAGTGCGTATATCCCCTGCAATTCCAATGAATAACTATGCATCGATGCAGGCGGCCAAGAAAGAGTATGGCCAAACAAGGGATGCGGCAGATATTTTTTTTCTTGTGCCTTCACAAAGATGGAGGCGGCTAAACCAGCGGCTGATTTTTTTCTTCCGGCGAGTTCAAAAAAATGAGATCATTGGAAGGATCAGGATCTGCAGCAATCGTTAGCAAGATTCGGATTGGCGGGTTTGGAATTGGATTTTGTGGTTGAAACTTTTTTTGTATATTTTTTTGGGTGAATTATAGAATGAAAGCACCAATTGATACGAATATCGTATCGGATAGGAAAGAACTTCGAGCGTCTTCGAGCGTTCCCGGGTTCCAAGAAAAGAGAGACGAGAGATTAAGAGAATTTTTGATTATTGATTGATTGAATGATAATGATACGGGATTACAATATATAGGGATGAGACGCCACACCTACATGACCTAATGGGCTCGGGCCCATACAAAAACCCTAATCTATAAAATACTGATAAATAATAATAACTAACTACTAAATAATAATATAACTAATTAAAATATTCTAATTAACTATCCGTATCAAATGATACAGATAGTTAATTAGAATATTTTAATTAACTATCCGTATCATTGGACTCCGCCGACGTGCCCTACGACGCCATTGTGGTTCGTTGATATTCTTAAAGCTATTGGACAAGACAGATTTGATTTCGTGCAAGCTATATTTACGCGAAGTTGCCCTGTTGAAGGAAAGAGAATATTTGGTAGAATATTTGGAGATATTTGTGTATATATTGTTTTGGTAGTTTTCCTTGTACATGGATTCTTTCCTTTTCCTTTTCCTTTAATTATTAGGAGTCTCAACTTGTGAGATCCTATATATAGGTCCTCATTGTAAATTGTAAGGACAAGAGAGAAATACAGGAAATTTCCTCCCAAATAATTCTTTCATGGTATCAGAGCCAAAACCCTAGAGTTTTTCAGTGACTACTGTTCACGATCGCCCGGCATGGCGTCCATCGATCGTTGCTCAGTTTCAGTCGTTTGTTGTTGTTGTTGCCGGACAACGGAACGGTCGACCGTTGCTCTTGAACGGTCGAGCACGTCGACCGTCTCGTCGGCAGATTGTGTGATAGATGCTGCTGTTGATTCTTCTACCACCGCCGTACGCCACTTTGCTACCGCCATGGCCGATGAACAACCAAGGAAGATGTTTTTCTCCCTATCATTGTGTGTTTCCAGTGTGAAGCTTTCAGGTATTCCTGTGTCACCGCGTTGGATTATAGATACTGGGGCATCAAATCATGACTGGTGATATTTCGATATTGCATGACGTCGTGGGAATATCACCATGTGAGATGGGTTTGCCCAATGGGAAAAGAATTATTTCTGTACAATCTGAGAAGATTAAATTAACAGAAACATTACTTCTGCACGATGTCCTATATGTTCCCACTTTGAGTTGCCATTTAATCTCTGTGTCACAATTGACAAGGGATTCGAACTGTGAGGCACGTTTTGCCAACAATAAGTGTATACTACAGGATCTGTATTTAAAGACAGAAATTGGTATGGGTGAGCAGGAAGGAGGACTTTATTACTTCAAGGAGCCTGAAAAGAAGATGGTGTGCAGTGCGAAGAAGGAGAGTAAGTTTGATCTTTGGCACAAACGACTTGGACATCCTTCCTCTCATGTTTTGTCTCTTGTTCCTGGAGTTGGAACAAGTAAGAGTAGTCACAGTTGTTGTGACATTTGTTTGCGTGCTAAACAGACTCGTGGGAGCTTTCCTATAAGTTTTTATCAATCTGCTGATATATTTGATATGATACACTGTGATTTATGGGGACCGTATAGGACTCCAAGTTTTGATGGTTCTACAATGTTCTTGACCATTGTGGATGATTTTTCAAGAGGTGTTTGGGTACATTTGCTTGATTCCAAACACAAGGTTGACACTGTTTTTAAACAATTCTGTGCTATGGTAGAGCGACAATTTGGGAAGAAAATAAAGTGTGTTCGCAGTGATAATGGCACAGAATTTGAATGTCTAAACGAATATTTCAAGGAGCAAGGAATTATTCATGAGACGTCTTGTGTGTCTACTCCACAACAGAATAGGAGAGTAGAACGCAAGCACCGACACATTTTGAATGTGGGTCGGGCTTTGAGGTTTCATGCTGGTCTTCCGATTGAGTTCTGGGGAGAGTGTGTACAGACCGCCACACATTTGATCAATCGCACACCTTCGTCTTTGCTAGGAGGGGTCACACCATACGAGAAGATCTATGAAAAGCTACCTTCTTTGGCTCATATTCGTGTTTTTGGATGCAGATGTTATGCTCATAACTTGAAGAGGAATGAAGATAAATTCGCAGCAAAAAGCAATCCTGGAATATTTGTTGGATATCCGCAAGGGAAGAAGGGATGGCGTATTTACTACCCGGACACTGGGGAAATTAAGGTGTCCCGGGATGTTGTGTTCTGTGAAGATATTTTCCCTTTCTTGACTCCTACAGGTGCATCTCTGGATACAGGAAGTACAAATGAGGTTAGCTCTTATGATGAAGATGAAGAACTGCGGACGGAAGAACGGATGGACCGTTCCAGGAGGGACGGTCGACCAGAGGAAAGCGGTGGAGCAGACAGGCTACAGACGGTCGACCGATTGGACCGTTCGGTTGTCCACGGTCGACCGTCCGAGAGGCAGAATGACGGGTTCTTGAGAGATGACCAAACGGTCGACCTGGTGGACCGTTCTGATATCCACGGTCGACCGTCCGCGAGGCAGAATGACGTTTCGTTGGGAGATAATCAAACGGTCGACCGTGATGTGGAAGACGGTCGACCGTCTCTGAGGCAGAAAGTTAGCGATCCAGAACAGCTTCAGACGGTCGACCCCGTGGACCGTTCCACGGACGGCGGTCGACCGTCCTCTTCCCAGCAGGCGGTGGAGAACTTGGGACGTGGTCAACGTGAGAAACATCCAAATGTACGCCTTGCCGATTATGTTACCCATGTAGCTGGTTCACATGTTGGTGAAAAATGCAAATATCCTCTTGCCTCGTATGTCACACACGAGAAGTTCTCTGACAGACACAAGTGTTTTCTCAGCACTCTTGATGCTGGAGTGGAGCCCACAAGTTTCAAGAAGGCATTCCAGGATGAACGATGGAGGAAGGCTATGAGAAAGGAGATTGATGCACTGGAGGCTAATGGGACGTGGTCTCTTGTCTCTCCTCCACGCCATAAAAAGCCCCTTGGTTGCAAATGGGTATATAAGATCAATCGCAAGTCTGATGGAAGTGTAGAGAGATATAAGGCCAGACTTGTTATACTTGGCAATCATCAGGTCGAAGGACTTGACTACAAAGAAACATTTTCTCCTGTAGTCAAGTCTATAGTATAACGACAGTTTGGGAGAAAAATAAAGTGTGTTCGAAGTGATAATGGTACGAAATTTAAATGTCTAAATGAATATTTTAGGAATAAGGAATTATTCATGAGACATCTTGTATGTGGGTCTACTCCATAGCAAAATGGTAGAGCTGAACACAAACATCGACATATTCTGAATGTGGGTCGGGCATTGCAATTTCAGGCACAACTTCCAGTTGAATTCTAAGGAGAATTGTGTTCAAACAGCTGTGTATCTGATCAATCATACACCATCATCCTTTCTAGGGGAGTTACTCCGTACGAAAAGCTCTATGGAAAGCCGCTTGCACTGACTCATATTTGTCTTTTTGGTTGGAGATGTTATGCGCATAATTAGAAGAGGAATGGTGATAAATTTACTCCTCGAAGCAATCCCGAAATATTCCTTGGTTATCCCCAAGAGAAGAAGGGATGACGTATGTATATTATTCGGACACTAGAGAAATCAAAGCGTCCCGAGACATTGTGTTTTGTGAGGATATTTTTCCTTTCTTGACTTCTGCAGGAAAATCTTCTGTAAATATAGAATGGATGACAAAAGCTTGGTTGATTACCACGAAGAAGAGGATGAATTATGGATGGTCCAGCCACAAGACCATCTCTGGGGAGACGATCAATCGCACCAAAGCCATAATTCGAAGATGCTACATGAAGTCAAGCCATTAGACCTTCCTGTAAATGACGGTTGACCGTGGGCAAGACAGAATGCAAGAGAATCGGAAGAGCCATAGACGGTCGGCTCCATCGACCGTACCATAGCTGATGGTTGACTATCATCATATCAACCCATAGAAGAAGTTTTGGGGCACGGACGATGTGAAAAACACCCAATTTTGCATCTTTCAGATTATATTATGCACGTTGCCAATGTGTTTTTTTAGAGAGAATTGCAGTATTCACTCTCGTCATACATTGCTTACGAGAGATTCTCTAACAAACATAAGTATTTTCGTACAACACTTGATGCATAAGTTGTGCCAAAGACGTTCAAGAAGGCATTCCAGAATAAACAATGGAGGAAGGTCATGCGTGAAGAGATAAATGCATTAGAAGCCAATGACACATAGGCCCTTGTTCCTCCTCCCAGAATGAACAATGGAGGTGAAGAGATTGATGCATTAGAAGCCAATGACACATGGACCTTTGTTCCTCCTCCTCGCTGTAAGAAACCATTGGGCTACAAGTGGGTATATAAGTTAAAACGCAAGTCTGATGGGGGTGTTGAGAGATACAAGGCCAGATTGGTCATACTTAGCAAACATCAGGTGGAAGGTATCGACTACAATGAGACATTTGCCCCGGTGGTAAAAATAACCAGTGTGCGGATACTCTTGGCTGTTGCAGCTACTCGGGGGTGGGAGTTGCATCAAATGAATGTTCATAGTGCATTTTACATGAGATCTTCAAGATGAGGTATATATGTGCTTGCCGCCAGGTTTGTTGGACTCTTCTGATATGGTGTGCAGACTCAAAAAGTCCCTGTATGGATTGAAACAAGCACCACACTTGGTTTGCTAAATTGCCTAGAGGTTAGAGATGCTATGACTCTGTCCAATCCATCTCTGGTTACTCCTTATTCTCCTTTGTTGGGAAGAAAGGAGTGATTAATGTTTTGATCTATGTTGATGATTTGATCATTGCTGAAAATAATGCAGAGATGATAGCCAAATTCAAGTTATATTTGGCTGATTGTTTTCATATGAAAGACTTGGAAACTCTGAAATTTTTTCTTGGCATTGAGGTAGCTTGAAGTGCATCTCAGATCTTTCTTTGTCAACTAAAGTATGCCCTAGATATCATCACTGAGGCCGGTCTGCTGGGTGCCAGACCATTTGGAACACCAATGGAGCCCAATCATCACTTGGCTCGTTCCTAAGCCCCGATTCTTGATGATCCCAAACCTTATCGATGCTTAGTTGGGCATCTGGTCTATCTGTCTGTCACTCATCTAGAGTTGTCCTATGCCGTGCATACTTTAGCACAGTTTTTGAAGGAACCGCGAGAGGATCAGTCGACTACTACCCTTGAAGTTGTTCGGTATTTGAAAGAGTGTCCAGGTCGTGGTATTCTCCTCTATGTAGATAACAATCTACAACTTGCTGGGTGGTGGGATTCTGATTGGGCTACGTGTCCCCTTACGAGGGGTTCTTTGAATAGGTGGTTTGTTCATCTAGGGAATTCCCCTGTTTCTTGGAAGACAAAGAAATGACGGTTGCTCGTTCATCTGCTGAGTCTGAGTATCGACCCCTTGATGTTGTTACTTGTGAGTTGAAATGGTTAAAGAGCCTCTTGCATTCTCTTGGGGTCTTGCACGATACTCCTATGTTTGTCCACTGTGATAGCACAACTGCTCTCCATATTGGAGCCAATTCGGTCTTTCACGAAAGCACGAAGCATATTGAGATCGATTATCAATTTGTTCGAGATGAGCTCCTTCACGGTGTGATCCGTACACATCAATTGCACCCTACAATTTTAGTTGACTTTCGAGCCAATTTATTGACTTCAAAGTCAACAAAAATTGTAGTGTGCAATTAAGGGGAAAGTGGTGGGGGGGGGGGTTGGTTTGGGTTGGGATGAGCGAGGGAAGTTTACCTGGGGTTAAAGAGAATAGAAACTATTAGTTTTTCGAATAGAACACTATAAAGCTAAACCATGTCATCCTATTGTTTGCAAGTGTTATTGTTGTTGTTGGTGTTCGTTCGATTGTACTTTAATTTTGAGGTAAAATACTCGTAAATAATAAATACAGTTTTTAAGTAGAAGTACATTGAAGAAATAAAAGTAGAAATTTAAAAGGGTCTTACTAAATCCACCCTGAAGTTGTTACATTCACACATTTCGCCTTCAAAAAAATTGTGGAGTAGTTTTTTGTTTTGTGGAAAAAACAGGTACTGTAGCATTTTAAACCAAATGGAACTGCTGGAATCTTTGCTGCAAGGCCAGGAAATCCAAAGATTAAAAAAAGGATTCATCTTTCAATTAGACCTACAAGAATGTTACATATCATTTCAGTTTGCCTCAACAACTGGGTTTTTTTTTCCAATTCCAGAAGCATTATTACACCACAGGCAAAGAAAAAAAACATGTTTTTTTTTCCTTTTTCTTCTAAAGATCATGTTCTACCTGCAAATAAAGAATGAGCATTTTTTTTTTCTCCTTTGTCTTGCTAGCCTGGCCTAATTCTCTTGTGGTTGCTGGATTCACCTTCAGAGGAAGCAGCAGCAGAGGCATGAATGAAAGAGGAGGAGAGATCAGCATAGAGAGAAACCACCCTTTTGATGTTGTTGTTCAGCTCTCTGATCAGACTCACATTCCTGCTCAAATTATCTGGGATTTTGGACTCATGGTTCTGGTTTATCTCATTTATCAACAACCTGTTCTGGTCCAATATGCTCTGCACCTGCACAAAGCTCTTCTGGAATGTCTGCAGAATCTTCCCGTCTGTCCCATCCCCGCCACGGCCGCCACCTGAGAACATGCCCCCCTCCATTCCCTATGCTGCTGCTGCTGCTGAGAGTCCAATCAAGTCCACTGCATAGAAGAGGCTAAAGGGTAATAATGTGATTTGGGAGGGAGTCACTACCTGAGATGGAGGGAGGGTATTAAGGAGACTGCAAGTAGACAGTATCTCTAATGCTTGATATTATGACCCCCACCCACCCCACAATTGCACCATAATCCCAAGCTAAGTTGCACCGAAACGAGGACATTAACACAAAAAAACACCATTTTTTCTAAAATTTACTAAGAACTTAGGTGCCCGTAAGTCTCAAGTATACAAAACAGAGGTGTTTCGGTGACAAGAAGCTCACATTACGACTAAATACGGAAGCTATGATAGCGGCATGGAGCGGGTCACACATTTTCATTTGGGAAATGGGATGAAATTTACCTATATATCCTTATATAGTCACACCTGAATAGTAGGGAGTATCTCTATAAAGATATACTCCGTATTGGCGAATTTGCCAGATTTCGTAAACAAATAATGTGACCCTCTCCATGCCCAAATCTTTTTTATATGACGAGAAAACCCGCAACGTGGGTAAACCCCATTCAGTTTTTGGATATAAATTAAAGATTTTCCACTTTAATTACTTGAATATTTATTTACATATTTAGCTCAATATTCATCACATTTCTATTTTATGTCGTGAAATCACGACTTTTTTGGTGTTCATTTTTTTTTTGAAAAAAAAAATCGGGACGCTACCCCCGATTCCCCGAACCCTGCCATGTATGGTGTCCCCGGCCCCGTAATAATTGTCCACACTCCTCACAAATTCCTGGATCCCGTAATAATTGTCCACACTCCTCACAAATTCCTGGATCCGCCACTGGTTTCCCCAATCCAAATCATTTTTTAACCACAGAGAATGATGGTTTTGAACTTGGTGTGAAGATCATGGAAGAAAAAAAGGGAGAATAAAGTAAGAGCCCATTAATGCATCATAATTATTACCAGTGCAATATCAGGGTCTATATAATTGCTATTTTTTGAAGGTATGATAAGATGTTAAAAGCAGATCCCATTTTCCATAAAAAGGAAACTTTTAAAACTGTACTCTGATCATTAATCTGATATATACCCCTCCAAAATCTCCAATGTTCAGAGTCTCAAAAGAAGAATCTCCCCACACACACAGCCCAGATTATGCAATCTACTCTACAAATCAAATAATTTGCATCTTTTTTACAGAGAGAAAATTGCGGGAAGCAAACATGGAAAAAAAATGACTTTTTGGTTTTTCTGGGAGATTTAGAACATATATTCTGTCAGGAATAGAGATGGTTTTACAGCCAGGCATCATACAAATTCAATTAAAAGACTGTGTTTGTTAACATGCAGATAGGTACATGAACAGTGTGAGAACATAAAAGAGGGGAAAAAAAATTAAATAAATGCATTGATTTTGAGTAATTCTGAGTGAAATTTTCATACCTGGAAAATCTGGGAGCATTATTATGGTGAGTGAAGGAAGGAGGAGACAGAGATAGGAGCAGAAATGATCGGCCCGATTGAATCGAATCTCCGGAAAGAGAGATGAGAGAGAGAGAGAGAATAAAAGAAGATTTGACAGTCAGGCTCCGACCCACCCAAATCCCTCTATCCTTGGGGTCCTTTCTCATCCTATTTTTTGAGTAAATTCCATAAAAGATCCCAGTTATAGTTCGTTTTACATATTTAGTCCCTACATATCAAATGTTACTAATTTAGTCCCCAATTATTATATCATTTTTTACGAATGGTCTTTTGTTAGCGTTTATGTTAAGAACATGGATAAAATTGTATATTCATACTTCTCTCTCTTCAATTAAATTTCCTCCCTCCTCTCGTACTCTTTCCTAAACCCGTCGCTGAGTTTGAAGCTCTAAACCCAAAACTGAAATTATCATTCCTCTCTCAATTATTAGTCTTCCTGTTGAACCTAAAATCAAAACGAATAAGCTTTATGGATGAGTTTTATCAGGTAGTCTCAAGAAACTGCAAAGAAAATAAACATTAAAAATCATCCATGAAGGTTACTGATTTCGAATTTGGGTTCCACCAGTTAGGCAAACAATTGAGAAAAGAGTGATGATTTCGGTTTTGGGTTCAAAGCTTCAAACTCAGCGACGGGTTTGGGAAAGGAGTGCGAGGGAAGGGAGGAAGCTTAATTGAGGAAAGAAAAGAGTATGAATTTACAATTTTATCTACGTTCTTAACGGAAATGTTAACAAAGGACCATTCTTGGAAATGAATATAATAATTGGGGACTAAATTAGTAATATTTGATATGTATGGACTAAATATGTAAAATGACATATAACTGGGATCTTTTATGGAATTTACTCTTCTTTATGAATATTGTGAGCTTTTATCAGAGTAAGATTATTGGTTCACAAACATAATAGTCACAAATCTAATAAATTTATCATTTCTGAATTTCAATAAAAAAGTAAATTAGTTTGGAATAATTTTAAAACGAGAATTTAAACTATAAATAGTAAGTTTGTAAACTTTGTAATTATTTTGTTTGTGAAACTCTTCAGGAATTAATCTTTTGTTATGTTTTACGTTTTTTGATTGAAATTCTTTTTCAATTCATTTTATTGGAAAATAGGTATAAAAAATTTTTAAAAAATTACGGAGTTTGCATTTAAAACTACAGTAAAAAATCTACAAAACTATATGTGATATGATTATATTTTTTATTAAATAAGTAACGAAAATAGATTAACAAAGTGGATAATGTTTTTTGACCCAATGAATAGTGAACTTTAAAATAATTTTAGAATGGAGGGAGTAAATCTTTGTGTGTATCGAACACGAGACAACTCTTTTAAGGATCAGACTAAGATTATAAAGTGATTTACTCACTAATGTCTGAATTATTCCAAAATAATCTTTATACTCGTATATATTTACTTCTCTAATAAATTAAAAATCTACTTAAATAAGATTAAAACATTAGATTTAAAGCAATTATCCAAAATAGAAATAAAATATAGAATTTATCTACAAAATACATGTAAAATATTTTTATTCACAAAATAAGACTATTACATTGTAGCATTGTGATAATGCATATTGACATTTCACTGTGTTTTTTGGTATAGTACATTAGCATTATTGGTATTATAGATTCTGTTTATAGGCTAAAAATATAGAGGTCTTATTTGGTTCTTTTCGTATTTTTACTCTTGTGTTTGTCTTTTTTAAGGAAAAAAGACCAAAATATGACCAAAACATAACAAAGAGAACAAAATAAGACATCCATATTATTATCTACACTATAATACTCACTAAAAACACTATAAAAAATCAATATATAGTGTCACAATATTACAATGAAAAAAGTTCTATTTTGAATAAAAACATAGAAATTTTATTGCAAGAATAATACCTAGGGGTGAGCACGTACCAAACCGATACCGAAATTTCTTGAAAAAACCAAGATTACCGAATCGAAAAATACTGAACCGATAAAATACCGAAAAAGGACAGTACCATACCGAACCAAATAGTCGATCCGGTATTTAAGATCGGTACGACTGTACGAGGTAACTTCCCATACCAAAAAATCCCGAACCGAACATATATACAAATACGTTATAAAAATAACAAAGTTTTTATATTTCTTCATTAAAAATAAATTGATTTTAAAAAATTGGTTAAAGTGTAGATGAATTATAAATAATTTTTTATTTATATAATCATTTATTTGAATTTTATTTTTTGTAGATTTATATAAAAAAAATTAACAAATATTTAAAATATTATTTTGTTATCATTCGCTCTCTTTTGTTTGTGAAATATAAAGTATAAATTAAACTAAGTTTTATAAGTATATTTTTCATTTTTTAATTGTTTATCTTTCTTTTATTTGAATGTACTTTCAATTTTTTTTAAATCAAAAGTTTTGTACATTCCAAAGTGTAAACTATGTACGTATATATATTCGTCTCAATATTTACCGAAACCAAACCGAACCATCCTGAACCATCCTAGTACGATAGATATCTTAAAAAAGTGTTTGGTGACCAAAAGCGATTTGGATTGACCGTTCTCCGCCACGAGTTACTATTATCACCGCCAACCACCACATATCTTTATCATATCTCCAAAAAGTTTGTATGAGAAGAGGGAGTAGAACTGTACAATAATATATATATATATACATATATATATATATATATATATATATATATATATATATATATATATATATATATATATATATATATACTCCCTCCGTCCCAAATTATTTGCCACATTACGCTAAACGAAGTAATTTTTTGAATTTTTTCAATCCATTTTATTTAAAGAATGGTCTACAAATGAAAAATAAAACTTACATATTTAAAAATTACATCAAAAGTTCTACAAAACAAGTGGTGACAAGAATATTTTATTCTATCAAATAATCAATGAAAATGCAAAAATAAATAAAAATTTTCGGGATTTTTAAATAGTGGAGTGTTGTTTATATTTTGGGACGGATGGAGTATATACAAATTTGTATGTGAAATACACCACTCATGTGTCTTTGTTTTTCCCACTTGTCCCTTATTTTATGGGGTCTAGTGATTTTGGATTGTGTTTTCGTGGCAAGAGACAAAGTATTTGGCCAGCCTTATCTCACATCTCGGAATGATGAGTTTGTTGAGATATCTATCACTATACATGTTTAGATTGTTTTGTTTTGGTTTATGATACATAATTGAAGTTTTACAATCTTTGCACCTCAAATTGATCAAATTGACAGATAGTTTTAAATAAATAAATACTAAAAAAATTTGATATATCAAAATTATATCTTAAAATAAATTTAATTACGTTAAGTTTGTATTATTATAACTAAATATATTCTCATCATAGTTTTTTGTCAAAATATGTAGTTGTATGATTAATAAATATTAAGTTGTAAAGAGCTTTTTGGGACGAATGGGCATTTGAAAACGAGTACAAAATTTAAAAATAAAATTATGAAGTACAATGCTTATAAATTTGCTTTGTCTGTCTCACATGATTATTTACACTTGTCATTTTTAAATTTTAACCGCCTTATTTGATTCTTTAATTCATACTCCATACTATATATCACTTTAAACTAAATAAGTTATCATTGTGGAAGCATGTTGGTAGAGAGACAATGAAACCACCCCAATCTTCTCCATATTTAGTATTTGAGTCTCAGTCTTGCCCTTAAAAAGTTGATATTTTCAAATTAAAAAAATACATTGATAGGTCTGTGACCTACTAAAGAATAAGTTATTAAAATTTCATCTTTGCCATTCTACTTTTGTAACATCAAATTAATGCCCCACATCTAAATTTAAATCATTTCTTTCATTCACTCAACGCATCTAATCAAGAATGATTTGAGAGGTGCGTGATAAAGAAGTAAAATCTAGATTGACTCTTGTCAATCACGATAAACAATAATCTTAATATGCATTTTTCTATTAATAATATTGAAATTATAGTTCCATTTATCTCCTCTCAATCAACCTACTGTCTAGACGGTACTTGTGGCTTTGAGGTTCAACCTTTGTTTCTGGGTCTGTTTAGGATTAGCAATAGAGATTAGCGGTAGCATTTTGAAAAAGTTATCTACGGGCAACGTCAAGCATTAGCGTTTTCAAAGTAATCTACACCCTTGAAATTTTATCCAAAACGCTAACGATAATCGCTAAAGATATTCCCAAACAGGTCCTCTATTAAGGATATACATAAAAATTATACTTTCCAATTTCTACTTCTTAAACTTAGTGTTTTTTTCTCTCCCAATAAACAAGTCGGACAAAAAGAGTAATAAAAACTTCTACAAAATAAACAAGGGAGAAAGACCAAAGTAGGACTAAAGCATTAAAAATATACCAAAATAGGACTTCCATGTTTTTATTCCCAAAATAAAATTTAAAATGTATTTACATTACCAAACATGGTCATGTACATTACAAAAAAGTATACTAATATGCACAATGTCACATTACCATAATGCGAAGTTTTATTTTGGAAAAAAAACATGAAAATCTTATTTTTATACTTTTGTTTATGTTTTAGTCCTATTTAGGGTGGTTTTTAAATAAACAATCAATGAACATAGTAGAGTAAGACGGCCATTATATAACTTTAATAATACTCGGAATATTAAAATTGGAAATGTAAAAAATTTAAAAGAACGACAGAACGTGACAAGTGCAAGCAGGGAGATTGGGGTGGGGCCTCATTAGGGTTTATGGTTTGTTCCGTACGCCTGATCTGATTGAATCTAATCTGAACTTTTAAACTTTTGATCTGATCTGGTTATATCTTATCTGATTAGTTTTGGTCTGATCTGATTGGATCTAGTTTGATTAGATATGATATGATTTAATTTGATTTGATCTGATATAATTAGGTCTGATTGAATCGATTAGGTCTGATTGAATCCGATCTGATCTAATTAGGTCTGATATCTGATTTAAATTTAACTTAAAATTATTACAAAAATTTAATAGTTTTAAAGTATTACAATTCATGTATACATTAAAAAATTAAAATAAGAAAATTATTGACAATAGCTAATCATTGATATATTTAAACATTTTCTTTGATATATTAAATATCTTTTCAATACCACTATTTTTTTAATCTATGTGAAAACTGAATAATCAATTCTCATTTATATAGTGAAGGGAGTGTATTATTATTCGATATTAAAATAACTACATATTAGAAAATATGAATGCTATTCTACGAAATATCACACTCTATCTGCATATTACATAATAATATATTGCATGTTACAAATTAGCCATCACATAAAATCTTCAACACTGATATTCCTTTCATCACCTCTACCAATTTTGTCATAAACTCGCCCTTGTGCATATTACGAAATATGCTATTTTTAAGTTTAAAAGTGAGTTTTTTATGCAACTACAACTAATAATGGTTTGTAGTTGAAGTCTAATAACAATAACAATAATAATAATAATAATATACCAAAAATAATAATATTTAAAATTATAATATGGATTAAGATATATGTGTGTGTAGATTTAAATAAAGTAAAATGATTTAATCAAATAGTAATTATTACTTAATCCTTGAAAAATATTAATATTATTTTTTATATTTTTTTCTTGATTTGATATTATTAGATTTGATCTGGTCTGATCTGATTTGATTGGATCTGGTCTGATCTAATCTGATTTTAAAAACAATAAGTAATAAGTAGAAAAAAATCCCATGGAACAAACCCTTAGAGGGGTTACAGAAAACTAGTGTTAACCCCGTGCTTCGCACGGGCTCGCATACATTCTAAATTTTTGACAATTTATAAATATTTTTATTTTAGTTTTCTAATAGTGATAAAATATATTTTGAACTGGTGGAATATATATTGGTATGTTAATTTAAAAACAAATTAATAAAATATTATAATAAAAAAGACTAATTAAATAATGATACGGAGTACATCATTAGAGATGTGGCATAATGTCACTTGTCACCCTTCAATTAAACCAACTTTATTCTATTTAATTTGTTGAAAAATATACATAGTAATAAAATAAATAATGTAAAAAGGTAAAAGTTTTGAAGCAAAGTATTTAATTCATAAATATGCATGTGTGACTAAATTTATATAATCATTATTTGAGAAGGTAATAAAATAAAATAAATAGTGAATAGTAAAAAAATAATCCTATATATATTTATGTGTGTGTGTGTGTGTATAATACTTTGTTGAAAAATGTACGTAGTAATAAAATAAATCATGTAAAAAGGTAAAAGTTTTGAAGCAAAGTATTTAATTCATAAATATGCATGTGTGATTAAATTTATATAATCATTATTTGAGAAGGTAATAAACTAAAATAAATAGTGAATAGTAAAAAAATAATCCTATATATTTTTATGTGTGTGTGTTGGGGACTTGTCGTGCGGTCCAAAACAAATTAAAAATTTATAAATATCCTTAACTAACCCCCAAGATATAATCAAATAAAAACTATAGCTAGGGCAAGTAGGGGTCGATCCCACGGAGAAATGTTGTACTTTTTAAAACCAATTTAGCATGCAAACACATTGTCACGAAAATAAATATAAAAAAACAAACTACTACACAAATGATAATACTTATAAAACTTATAATAAAACTTATAACTACATAAATTTAATAACTTATAAATATAACTTATATAAACGAAGAACTATAATATAACTAAAAACATAAAACACATATTTAAGATATACTAAAAAAAGGTATAAAAACTTATATTTATAACTTGAAACACGAGGGGGGGGATTGAATAAAAAGTAAATATTTTTGGTTTTTATATTTTCTTATTTTTTTGGTTTTTTTTTATAAAATGGGGGAAAACAAGCTCAAAAGATAATCAACTTCTTCAACCTAGGTAACCCGAAAAACACCGCCAAGAACCCGAAACAAAATTTAAAAAAACGAACACAAATCGAACATTACACGTATAATAGGCACGTAGACAATATATTATGTAACTTACGCACTTAAGAATAGAAAAGAATTCAAAGGCTCGAGTTGATTCATATCCTTGACCACATATAGAGGATCGTCAACTCTCTATAAGGCCCGGAGTCAAAGATTCAAAGGCCTTTTGGTTACTTTGAACCCCCACTCACCTCAAGCGCTCAAATAATGATTCCAAAAGATGAAAAAGTTTATAAAAGAGCGAATCTTTCTTTCATTCTAACTCCCATGCACAAAGTATTCATGAAGAACATTTGATACACTTTAATAAACTTTAACGTCTAATGATGAAAATATTTTGCAGGTCTCCTTGAACTACTCAAGTATAAGAATTGTATTCCATTCACATAAGGAAAACATTACATATTTTCATTAAATCAAGAGTTGTTTATTGCGCTTAAACAATCCCAATTTTTATGAAAATAACAAACAAACACCAAGACATAAACAATCACTCTATAACGAATCTTAAGGAAAACGTTCGACTTATGTGGCTAAGAAGATCATTTACCTTAAAATTTTACAAAACACAAGTCACAAAAAAGATTCACGTATGAATTCGAAAATCACTTAACTAAAATATGTAGCTAAATTAGCTTC